GGAGTACCCTGTATGCAAACTTTATAAGTCACTCTATGGACTCAAACAAGCTTCCCGACAGTGGAATCTTAAGTTGACAGATGCATTGCAAAAGATGGGCTTTACTCAGAGTTATTATGATTATTCCCTGTTTACCAGAAGAGAAGGCAATAGTTATGTACTTGTGCTTATATATGTTGATGACTTGATAGTTACAGGAAGTAATTCAACATTGATCAGGAAGACAAGGGAAGATCTGCAGACATTCTTCAAAATGAAGGATCTAGGAGAATTTAAGTTCTTCCTTGAAATTGAATTTGCAAGGTCCTCCAAAGGAATATACATGCGCCAACGAAAGTATGCCTTGGAGCTGATTGCAGAACTTGGGTTGTCTGGTTCCAAATCTGCAAGTACCCAATTAGAAGTTAATCAGAAGTTGACATCTGTTGAGTTTGATAAATTGACATCTCCCACTATTGGAGATAAAACAGCCCATTGGAGGATGCTGGGATATATCAGAGATTGGTAGGAAGGTTGTTATACTTAACAATGACCAGACTTGACATCTCTTATCTTAGCCAATTTATGCATGCTCCCAAGTAATTTCACTTGTATACAACTATACGAGTGGTAAGATACATAAAGACAACACCTGGACAAGGTCTGCTACTGCCTGCAGAAGGGAATGGCCAGTTGACTGCTTATTGTGATGCTGATTGGGGGGCTTGTTTGCAAACCAGAAGGTCGGTGACTGGTTATTTAGTCTTCTATGGTGAAGCCTCGATTTCCTGGAAGTCCAAGAAACAGGAGACTGTTGCGAGAAGCTCAGCTGAGGCAGAATTCAGGAGTATGGCCTCTACAACAGCTGAATTAGTTTGGTTAACAGGTTTGTTTGGTGAATTAGGCATTGAGCTTCAAATGCTAGTGCATTTGATGTGTGACAGTAAAGCTGCAATTCAGATAGCAGCAAATCCTATATTCCATGAGCACACCAAACACATTGACATAGATTGTCATTTCATTAGAGAGAAGGTGAAAGCAGGGGTAATCAAAACTGTACATGTTCATACCAAGGAGCAACTAGCTGACATCTTGACCAAAGGATTGGGTAGACTACAACATGACTATTTACTTGGCAAGCTAGGAGTGAAGAATATTTTTCTCCCCTCCAACTTGAGGGGGAGTATTAAGCCACCATGAACTATTCTGATATATGTCATTAGTTGAGGGGCTAATGTGTAAAGAATAGAAGTTATTACTTAAGGCGGTTAATCGGTTACATGTATAAATAGGTAGATATTTTCGATAATTTCCGTAAGAGACTCATTTTTTACTCTTTATACGTCTTGTTCTCTCAGATAATGAAGAACAACACACTTGAGCTGAATCCTCTCCCTCTCGTGTGATCCTTTTAGATTCTTCTAAAATTGGCAATTCATGCTTGTGCATTTGCTCAATAGCATTCCAGTGAGACTGTAGCAGCCAATTGAAAAAACTAATGAATAGGACAAACTAGCTCGTACCCTTTTCTTTCTTGGTGCTCAAGAAAAGCAAGAACATCCCACTAAGACTGGACAAAAAAAATCAAATCGATTTATTTATAAAATATAAATCCAGCATCCTAAATCGATTTAATTAACTCTTCATCAATTTAGTATGGTGTGGTGTGAAATTCTGAAACATGAAAATATTTTCTTTCATTTGGTAGAAATAAAGAAAGTTAAGTGCTAAACGGAAAACGAACAAATTTAATTTGTTTATGTATATGTATCATTTTATTATTTCACACACATATATATATATATATAT